AACAGCTCAGAACAAAAGGTGTTCAATAGGGTGGGTAGGAAATAAATCTCAGAGTGGATAACACTTCAGACACAATAATGTATAGCTTGCACTTGGATGAGAATTGGGGGATAAGTAGCTCAGCCTGAATGATTCTGGGGTAGAATTACTTGAGATTTCTTCTATATGGTTTACATTTATCTAATAACAGTAGGTGAAAGATACTGAAATTATGACTTAAAAGTTAGCGTTGGGCATTATTTCCATAAGGTAGAAGGGAAATGAGAATGGTACAGCACACATGAGAAATCTTTGTGGGTTGGTCCTAGATGTGGTTCTCATCCATTCTACATATATTTTATTTGCTAGAATTTAGCCACATGGCTGCCACATCTAGCTGTAGAAGAAGCTGAAAATGTAGTCCAGCTATGATTTAACAGAGAAAAATATGGATCCTTGGGTTGGAAAAATAGTTAAACCCTCCACCACTAGCTAAAAGGCTGTTCATTTGGACCCATGCACCAGCGTCTTAGAAGAGAGCCTTGGTGATCTGCTTCTAAATGGTCACAACTATGTAAACCCCACGCAGCAGTTCTATTCAGTACACATGACGATGCCGTGAGTTGGAATTGACAGAAAGGGAGGTAACAGTGGTAATGTAGATTTCAGAGAGCAAGTAAGCCACAATATACATACTTTTCTTTGTATTAGTCACGCAATAGGTATTTGATATTATTTTTCTCAGAGAACAATGGAAATAAGGCACATTGGGAATTCAAGGGAAACAAAGAGATGAAGCCCAAGGAAGGTGAGTTAGGAAGCTAGCAACATCTCTTACTTCTGTTTCCAGAACCAGTTTAATGCCAAACAAGCCAGGTTCCTCGGTTGTAGGGATGTATAAAGGTTATGTCCTTAAATAAAAGATTAAGTTGAAGTGGAAACTTGGCCACAAACCATCCTGTTCTGAGCCCTGAGGAACTGGAATTAATTTGAATCAAGCTATTACTCATTCCTATTATGTGCCAGTAGGAAAGGGAGACAATTACATTGTAAACAACATGATCCTTTTCCTGAATTTCCCCTCCATTCCAATGACCAATAATCCTGGCCTTTGTCTGAAGTACCAATTGATCAGGCATTCAATCAAGCACTTTGTTGAGCAACTACTTTGGGCTCTCCACTCTTTGGCCAGCATCTTCCCTACAGCAACGCAGCCCACTGCCTGGTCTATTGTGAGTCCATTAGGGAGTGGTTGTGGTCACAAGAAATTGGAGGTGAAGTACATTTTTGTTAATGAATCATATTTTCCCCTGTGCTTCAATAATTGATGCTAGAGATGCTTTTCATGGGAGTAGAAGATAGTGAATGTTGCATTAAGATAAAAAGGAATCACATTCGTAAAACAACATATTAGAATTTGTCCAGAATTAAAAGGAAAGAAAAGATGTCTTTTGTCTTAACTACTAAAAAGCAAAAAGATTTTTCAGAAACTGAAGAATAAAACCCAGAAATGGCACTCTCGAACTCAGTCGCCTCTAACCACGACTTGTGTGTAACTCAGGACCTGCAGGGAAGGTTAGGTTTCTTCCAGTTTGCCTGTTTCTGGCTCTTTTGTCTGAGTCTCTATCTGGTGTCATAAATATTATCCTTTTAGTCCTCTAGGTTTGAGCTGTTTCTTTTAAAAGATCTTTGGAAATTAGTCCTCATTGCCATTTAAAGAAATTGAATTTGAATCCCATGTTAGAGCTGCTGATGTGTTATTTTCCTCAAAATTCCTCCCTTCTGGTCAGGGAAGGTTGAGCTTTCCTCTGAATGAGGTGGATTTAATTACAGTCCTTGTTAGGATTATAAAAGAAGGTGTATCTTTAGGCTTGCTACAACTAGTAGGAGTCCTTTCTTTTGTAGGGAATAACTAGCAATAAAAAAAGTTTGCCAGGACTCTAATTCCAGTGGTTACAGCACCACAGGAAATTGAGAAATTGTTTCTTTGGGGCCTGGTGGGAAAAATATGCGGATGAAATTTAGCATGATCATTTGAAGACTATTGCTTAAATCCACCAAGAAAAGGCTGTTGAGTAAGGAATGGCTTCTGGGGGAGAGGTATCAATTTGACCTTTCTTTTTTTTTCTTCAATTTGACCTTTCTTTGTCTAGCCTGTCAGATTCCCCAAGGACTCTCAGGTATGACCATGAAGTTGGGATTCTCTACTACATAAAAAACTGAGAGGATTTAGAAGTATCTTAGAGATTTAGGAATAAATTCATCCAAAGTTAGCCTCATTTGGGTGCCCTCTATTTATATCTGTGCATGTGTCCAAACAAGAACTCTGGGGCCCTAGACCTTAGGTGCATCCAGTCTTGGCATCCGACATGACTCCTGAGCACAAGGCTCTTTCTTACCTTTTCTGTCGTCCATGGGCATCTGATTGGGGGCTCATGTCCCAAACTAATACAGCTTATCGTCTAAACCTACTCCCTAGAGATGCTGTGAGAGATGCTTTACACACCTCATTGTTCAAACCCCAAGTTTTTCTCCCTTCTCCACACTTCCTTGAACTTCCTGTTGATTCACCCCAAACTGACTGACGAGAATCCCTGTTGTGTCCTCTCCCCATCTCCACACTATCCAGTTCAGTCCACAATTCCCTCATGCCTGGATCTCACAGATTGTTTCATTACCTAATCTCCTGCCTCAGTGTTTCTCTTGCATAATATAATTTGTATCATATAATCAAAGTTATTTTTGTGAAATGAATTGTGATCATGTTACTTTCTAGCCTGAGAGACTTGTTAGTGCTGACCCACACTTTTCACTATAAAATCCCAACCTGTGTCTAGATTCTTGCTTATCTTTCTGGTTCTTTCCTCTTCCCAGATGAGTCAACCCTTTGACACGTGCAGCAGCCCCCCTCCAATTCAAGCTACTGACAGGAGTCCCTGAGTGTTGTGAACAGTTAGTATATTCCGTAACTTACTGAAAGGTTGGAAGTTCATTTCTACTCTGAAGTGCCTTGAGAGAAAGACCTGGAAACATACTTTAGAAAAGTCAGCCATAGAAAACTCTACGGAGCACAGTTCCAATTTGACATGCATGGAGTCCATGGACTGGAATCAACTCAACCACTTATATGAGTACTGCTCTGTCTAGATTTCTCCATTCTTTGCCAACTTTAATTTGTGTCCAAAAGCCATGGAACTCACCCTTGACTTAATCTTCCCTACTGAAATAGATTATCTTCTCCTCTGAGCATCTGTTTCAAAACTCCCTGGGCATGCTCCCAGGATACCTTATCCTTAACCGTGAGCCTCTTGAGTGCAGGCTCTGCAGCTTATTCTTTGCACATCCTCTGCTGCTGAATAAATAAATGAAAACGAATGCTTATACTATTTTCCTACAGGTAAAATTGAATCCTGATGGTCATATTGTAGCATTTCGCTAGTTTGGGCTCAATGTTTTTGAACACGAGAAAGGCAGCTGTGATTGAAAGGAAGTAAAGCCCCTGACTCTGGCATGCGAAGGCTCAGTCTCTGCTCTGACACTGACAAACGGAGACCTCGGCCAAGTCGACTGGTCTCACCGAGTCTCACGTCCACGGCAATAGACAAAACATAACAGATCACTGACTGGGTTTCATTGAGGCCTGTGAAGAACCACATAGGCAGTGGATGGAGGCAGTTGGTGAATTGTAATTACTGCATAAACTAATGAAGAGGGATTCTTATTCTGCTCATACCTGCAGTTCTTCTTATTGAATCTTTGCAAGACACTGACCTTAGGCACATGGGAGATGTGGCCTGAATAGGGGTGGGCATGCTTGGGATATCACTCTTAAGGAGGGTGGAGCTATATGTGCAAATGACAGGCTGTCCCTAGGGAAGTGAAGTCCCAAGTCACCTCCTACCCTCTTATACGTTGCTGGTGAAAATGAGGCCAGATCTAGTAAGAACTTGGTGGCCTGTGTCAAGCACCTTAACTTTAATCTCCACATTTGACCTGTAATATCACTCCTGTAATTTATTCAAAGAGCATGACTTTTGAACATAAAAGGAAAAGCATTTACAACATGCAAAGAAGTTCACTACAGCTGTGTTTATTACAGCTCAAGGTGCAAAAGACCCCAATATGTGCCATCTGAAAGTGTGCGATCGGATTGTCCCTTTGTGGGGTCTCTATAAAACAGAAACACAACTTTGGGGTGAAAAAATGTGTCCATTAGTAGCTTCAAACTGCCAACAACTTGAGCACAAATCCAGGGACCTTTATGTGTCTCTGCTCAGGAGTTCTTCCTGGACAGAATTCACTTTGAACCCAGTGGCGCTACCTACAAAGGGATAGTCAGCACAAGGGGCACATGAATGTTTCACTGTGGCTCTGTTTAATGGAAGCCCTTAAAGCACTTCTGTGCTATTTCCTAACATGTACCTAGTGCTGCTGCTGGGAGCTGCCCTCAGCCACCCAACAGGTCAGTCTTGGGGATCTTTGTACCATTAAGACCCCCTTTTCCTCCCCAAATCTCCACCTAGCTGAAGTGTCAGGGCTTCCATGGGATTTTGTGTATTTTCTTTTTTTAAAAATAAGCAATTTGGCCTTCAGAAAAGATCTATTTTCTCTTATTATTTTCCCAAACTACTGCAGTTCAGAACCACAGTACATCTGACAAGTTCGTTGTGAGTTTCCACCCCTGCAGCTTTCCCGCTAGAAGATTCAACACAAAACAAGGATCTTTCCACTTAGGGGGACAGAGAAAGTGGGAGAGGAAGCAGCTCCCCGTCGGCTACACTGGGGTGTGGCTAGTTTTCTCGAAGACAGTCTCTTATGTGAACCTCCATGATCTCAGAATCCAAAATAATATTTGACATGAAAACCCCAGCGTTAATTTCTGGGGGTTTGAGAGGAGGCTTTGGCCCTTGGTAGGGTTTGTCATGGGAGTTTGTGGAGTAATCTCACTAAGGACAGCACTGACTGCCTCTGGTTTACGCTCCTCTTTCAAAGTTTATTTTATGTTTTGTTGTGGTTTTCAGATTTCTCATGGTTTGGATTTGGGAAAGTAAAATCAAGACAAGGTGTTGGTAAGTAGTTACTCTTTCTTTGGATAAATCCAGAGTTCATGTCATTTAATTAGGATGCAACTACTTAGATTCTCTATCCTTTGGCACTTGATTCATGCTCTTTGTTCCTGCATTCTGATTTGTTGAAAATAAATGAGGTCTAGAAGTTTCCAGGAAGGAAAACAAACAAACAAACAAATGGAGGCATTGCATTTTCTCATTGTGTACAATAAACTGTTTTTTTCATTTTTGAAATCAACTTGTTTTTATTCTATGGGAGAATGTCAACTCTTGCCCTAGGTATAGATTGTGGTTTTGTTTTGTTTTTGTGGGTTTTTTTAAAGAGCGTTAAGGAACTAGAATGTAACTACAATACAAAATCTCAAACAATAAATAGTTGCCTGGATATTTGTGCCTGGGCAAGTTTGAGGCTTAACTTTCTTCCATTGGCCAAGATGCAATTGAATAGATTTCTGAAGTGGTAAATCATTTGCAAGCATTTCACCAACTTTCAAAGCAGACTCTTGCATGTAGACACTGTGATTTGCGCCTGATTGCATTCTGCTTCTGGTATTCAGACTGTGCTCTGACAATTGGAAAGCGATGTTTGGAGCTCAGGAAGGGAACACAGATGATGGCTCTCATCACTAGAATTGAAATCAGGTGCGATCTTCTGGGACCTCCAATTTGTTCAGTGTTTTTTATGGGTAGAGAAACAATGAGCATGAATTGCTTAGAAGGCATGAAAAGACAGGCTGTCTTACTTCTTTGCTTTGCCAGGATCTTACCATCCTGAATGTCGGTGTACTTTAAAAGCAAGGTTGACAAGGTGAAGTTGCAGTATAGGGAGAATATATCAGGATCATGGCGTCTCCAGTCCTGAGCCATCCATGCCATACTTCCTGTCCACCTCTAAGGAACGCCATTTCCTGACATCAAACCCTGTCCTGTTGGGCAGCCTCTTTCAATGTCTGTTCCAACCAATCACTTGCCATTGAGTCCATCCTGACTCATGACAGTCCCATGCATCAGAGTAGAACTGTGCTATGGTCTTTCTTCTGAGCTTCCTCTGGGTCAACTGGAACTTACAGTCTTTCAGGCAGCAGCCAATTATCTTAACCATTTATAACACTCTGGGCTGTTTAGATCTGTTAATCATCTGAAAATTATGTCTGCGGAGTACAAGGAGGGCAGGCTGAGGCAGCCTGCCCTTGGCAGCATCTGAAAGGAGACCAGTGATCCTAACCTTGAAGACCCTTGTGAGTTCCAAGGTAAAGGCTCCTAACCGGCAAATAAGTGAAGATGTGGAAAAGGTGGGCTAACCCGGATTTTCTCCTTGGCAGCTTTCCAGAAGCAAATTCCAGATATAGCTGATCAGCTGCTTTGCCAAGACACCTGAGTGATTGTCCTGCTCAGGCAGGCATAATGGTGCCTTGTTTTAAAGCTTCGGAGATGGAGAGGGTGGCTGTTGACCAATTCTCCACAGAAAGAGGTGTGGGGTAGAAATCTGCCCTCCACAAAACAACAATTCTCTATAACCACTGAAATATTTTTTTTCAGACTAGGTTGTGCTGCAGAGACTCTTTTTTCCTAGAAAGCTTCAAATTATGGCTTTCTCCTCTAAGACCACAGCAGAGAGAACATTTTCATTTTCGATCAGATTTGTGTTGCTAGCTGCAGTTCATCTTAAGGTGGGGCAGTTCTCAGGAATAACAAGCACACCTACCTCATGGATGGAAAAATGCTCACTTAAATGACTCTTAGTGCAAGAAGATCAGTCTACAATAAGCTTAGAAATGTTTTCAAAGTCCTATGTATGTGATATGATACCAAGCAATTTTGATAAAAGAAAAATGCCTCTTTGCATCAGTGAATAAAATGGGATGAAAATGTTTCCAGGTATAACTCATGTTTGTTAGTTCAGTGATTAGAACTATCACCCACAACTCAGTCTGTGTGTATACATCCCTGGAAATTTGAAACTTTTCATTTATATTAATTTTTTCAAGTCCTCATGAATTTCTTTTCTTTTTGCAGACATACTTTTATTGGGGGCTCTTACAGCTCTTATCACAATCCATACATTCCTCCAGTGTGTCAAGCACATGTGCACATATGCCGCCATCATCATTTTCAGAATATTCTCTTCCCACTTGAGCCCCTGATATCAGCTCCCCATTTCTTCCCCACATATCTTACATCATCCTCCGTTGGCCCTCACCCACTTTTCTGTTATTTGTTCCCCTGGGAGGGGGTTTTAGATTGATCCCTGTGGTCCCCTTTCTTCCCCCACCCTCCCCTAATCCTCCTGGTATCTCTACTCTCCTTGTTGGGCCCGAGGGGTTTATCCATCCTAGATTCCCTGTGTTACAGGTTCTTATCTGTAGCAGTGTGCATGCTCTGGTCTAATCCAATTTGTAAGGTATAACTGAGGTCATGATAGTGGGAATGAGCTAGAGGGAAGTTGTGTGTTTCATTGGTGCTCTACGGCACCCTGACTGGCTCATCTCTTCACTGTGACCCCTCTGTGAGGGAATATCCAATTGTCTACAAATGAGCATTGGGTCTCCACTCCATGCTCCCTCCCTCCATTCATCTTGGGTATGGTTTTATTCTGGGTCTTAGATGACTGATACCTAATCCTATTGACACCTCATGTTCACGCAGGCTGGTGTGCTTCTTCTATGTGGGCTTTGTTGCTTCTGAGCTAGATGGCTGCTTGTTTATCTTCAAGCCTTTAAGACCCCAGGCACTATATATTTTGATAGCCGGGCACCATTAGCTTTCTTCACCACATTTACTTATGCACCCATTTTGTCTTCAACGATTGTGTCGGGAAGGTGAGCATCACAGAATGCCGGATTGTTAGAACAAAGTGTTCTTGTGTTAAGGGAGTACTTGAGTTGAGGCCCAATATCCATCCGCAACCTTAATTCTTAACATATGAGTACATAGTTCTATTCCCATCTCAATATATATATATATATTTACATATGTACATGCTGTATTTAGGCTTCTATAAATGTCCTTTGCCTCCTGGGTCTTTCCTCTATTTCCTTTTTCCTTCC